CTTTAAATTGCTGTGCCCCCATCACCACCATCCATCTCGAGAACTCTTTCATCATCCAAAACTGAAATTCTGTCCCTATTATGAATAACTCCTCATCCTCTCTCCCCCTAGGGCCTGGTAACCGCCACTCTACTTTCTGTCTCTATGAATTAGCCTATTGTAGGTACCTTGTATAAATGAAATCAAACAATATTTGTCCTTTTCTGTCTGGCTTGTTCCACTTAGCACAACATCTTCATCGCTCATCCGCGTTGCAGCCTATATCAGAATTTCCTTTCTTTTTAAGGCTGAATAGTATCCCATTGTAAGTATATACATTTGATTACTAATCTGTTGATGGACATTTGTGTTGTTTTGACCTTTTAGCTATGGTGAATAAAGCTACCATAAACACGGGTGTACAAATATCTCTTATGGACCTGGCATTTGAGTTTTTGGGTATATACCCAGAGTTGGAATTGCTGGAGTACGTGGTCATTCTATTTGTAATTTTTTGAGGAACCACCGTATTGTTTTCCATAATAGCTGTACCATTTTAAATAACTACCAGCAGTGTGCAGGGGTTCGAATGTCTCTAAATTTTATTTTCAAATAATTAGCACTTCACAGATCTCCTGAAAGAGTCTCGTGTACCCAGATCACAGTTTGAGATTAATAATGCAAAGTCAAATGAAGACATGCAGGTAATTTTGTTATATATTTCAAAATTCCTCTCCATCGAAGTTACACCACTTTGCAGTAACTCATGCGAGTGTCTGTTTCCTCACAGCCTTGCCAAAGAGTATGCTGTCAAACTTTTGTATTTAACTAATAAGACAGGCTAAAAAATATTATTTCAGTAAAGTTTTCATTTGCAGTACTGTTATTATGGGGGAGAGTGAGCATTTTTTCTTTTGTTTAACGGCCTTGAGTTCACTCTTTTATGAACTATCTGCTCACATACTTTGCCCACTTTTATTTTGGGTTGTGCCTTTTTATTCTTGATTTCCAGGAGCTGTTTTTGTATCAGTGATATTAACTCTTTTGCTGTCATATGAGTTGGATACTTCCCCCCAGTTGTCATTAGTTTTTATTTTGGTAATGGTGTTGTTTGTAGAGGCTTTTATGATATTTATGTAATAAAATGTATTAAATAATTCCTTTTATAGATTCAGAATTGCCAATCATGGTAGTAAGAGACTTCCTCAATATCCCAAGGAAATATAACTTTTAAAGAAAATCTAGAAATCTAAATTTTCGCCTGAAATTTTTCAATATTAAAATGTTGATCTATTTTTTTTAAGAGTACCCTACATCTAGAGCCACCTTCGGCCTAGAGGCCAGGCATTTGCAGTCTCTGCACTAAGATTGTGTAGTGGTGTTGGACATGCAAGACAACATCATGGTCATGACTTCCTTTGAGCACCATTGTTTTAAGCCCATGCTGGTAGATCCGTCCCTTCCCCTATCCTAGCCAGGACAAATCCTTCCATGCTCTAGGAAGGTTCACAAGACTTTAGGTAAAGGCAACAGTGTATAAGCAAGGAATGAGTTAGAATTCCAGAAGCCCAGGGCGGGAAGGAAAACTCATAAATTTCTGCATCATTCTCTTCCTCTAACGTTTCATGTTGGGGCTCTTTTGACAATCCCTACCTGGTAGCCACCCTATTTGCACACCCCTAATGACCTAACCTTCAGAACAGACTGGCTTAGTCTTTGGTCTGTGCTGATTTGCTCTTATCAAATTCAAACCCACCTCTTCTGTGACCCCAACCCACTAGTCCTTGTCTCACCCCGGGAGGTCACAACAGAGCATGTGCAGTATGTGGAAGCCAACTGTGTGTCAGTTGCCTGGGGGTTACCAGATTGCCCTACCCTGTGCCAGACTCCTGTGACCTTTTTCCTGCCAATCATACTGTCCTCCTCCCACCCCGTGCTGCCTTCATGGAAGACGAGCATCTTATTCATAGCTTATTACAGTGCCTGACACATAATAAATGCTCAATAAATATTTATGGAATGAATAGATGAATTAATGAAGTCAGCCAAATCGTCTCTCTCGGTGCCTCTTTCCAGCCCCTTACCATCTCCATATCAGCCCAGTGATCGATCGCATCTCTAGCAAAGTTAAACGTGGCAGGAACTTCCTGGCGGCCCCACTGCACGGATGCCAGTTGCCTCGTCATAATGTGCGGAGTGCGGCTGGACATCTGAGTACTCCATAGTGTGCAAAGTCCCTGAAGTTTCCGCAGCCAGTGCATGGTCAGACCTGTAAAGGAAAGAGGAGCCACAGGTGAGTGTTTCTTGAATTGATTGCTCTGTTAAGCATCAGCTGCTTCTGGAGATTTTCCCTAAGTGCACACGGCATTCTTCCCAGGAATTAATTTGTTGCAGTCTTGAGTGAATTGGCACTCAGCATCTGTCTCCTTATGGTGTGGTATTCTCCAAAAGCACAGCAGAATCTAGACCCAGTCTAGATTCTACCTCTTCAACACTTCTGACAGTTTCGTGAACACCCAAATCCATGTAATAAATCCCTTTGTATTGAAAATACAGTGGGTGGTAGATGAGAACGTTGTTCCCAACAGTTTGTTCCCTTCCTGTAGTAGGATTCTAGTAATGCATCCACATTCGTTTTTGTGTGTCTTCCCAGCGCATCCTGGAGGAAGAGTATGTATCCACATCTCATTGGCTTTGGCTTGCTCCTGGGACAGCTTTGGTCAATGGGATGTGAGCGGGTAGGATCGTGTGGGTTGGTCAGAGATTCTTGCATTTCTGCCCTCTGCGTGAGAGTTGCATATTCCAGATCAATGCTGTACCTTCAGCCTGGGGCCCAAAATGACAGGACAGGTGAAGTTAAACTGAGCCTGGTGTGAGCACTGTCAACTCACAGACCTGTATGTATGGTTAAAAGGTACTGAGATGTTCAGAGTGTTTGTTACTATAGCAAATCCTTACTAATACGAGTATCCACCATTCCTTCCTTCCTTCCTTCCTTCCTTCCTTCCTTCCTTCCTTCCTTCCTTCCTTTTCAAATACAGGATCTTGCTGTGTCACCCAGGCTGGAGTGCAGTGGCATGATCATAGCTCACTGCAGCCTCCAACTCTTGCATCAGGCAATCCTCCTGCCTTGGCCTCCTGGGTAGCTGGGACTACAGGCGCGTGCCACCATGTCTGGCTAATTTTTTGATTTTTTATAGACACGGGTCTCACTATGCTGCTCAGGCTGGTCTCAAACTCCTGGGTACAAGCAATCCTCCCACCTCAGACTCCCAAAATGCTGGGATTACAGGCGTGAGCCACTGCGCCCAGATTACCATCTGTTTCTTTAAGTCGAATCTTCACTGATACATGTAAGATACCATGTACTTAGTGCACAGGGCCTAATACACTCACTTTAGCGATTATAGCTCTTGTAATTATTCTTTCCGTATACATGGCTCCAGAGAAAGTAGTTCCAGGGCTGTGTAGGCTGATCTTTGAATTACACCCTGTGAACCCTGAGAAGGCTGCAGAATTTAAGTTTAATGATGATGTATTGGAGGAATCCGGCCAGTCAGTAGCCCAGTTAATAGGTGAATTCAGTTTCTTTTGTCTGGGCAACAGCAGCCAGAATGTTCAAGGTGTCTGACAATTCTGTCTCCTCTTTTATTTTTTATGGAATAAGAAATGAAGATTTCCTTACCAGCTCCTGGGCAGGAATGTGTATTGCCTTTGCACCTGTAGGTCCTTCTCTCTTTCCATAACTGGCTCTTTCTCATTCTTCCAGCCTCACCTCTGAGACGTCTCCTTCCCTGACCACCACCCAACTTCCAGGTCCCTTTGACGCCCTTCTCCCAGCCACCCCAGTCCCTCACTTTCTCTGTGCTACAGGTGCCTTTCTCTCTGCCCAGTGTCTCCTCACTGAGACGTGGCAGGCACCCCATTTCAAAGCACCCAGGAATTGCAGATTGATTTTCTCTGGGGATTGGCACTCTCCTCAATGGCCATGACCCCTAAAGATTGGTGAGTGTCATCATGGGACATGACCCCATCAGTCCATTCCTTGAAACAGATCTCACCTGCTGAGTCCTTTCAGGAAGACTTTCTGGGGAGAGCTTGGTCCACCCTCAGATGTCCAGCAAAGAGCCCCAGATTCCCCTGCAGCCTTGGAGGAGAGCACAGCTAATCAAGCAGACAGCTCCAGATTCCCTGCAGCCTTGGAGGGGAGCAGAGATAATCATTAACAGTGAATAACCCTGGAGTCTTGCCTGGGGTAACAGCAGTCCTCCTAGCCAAGTTCATGGGCTGCACAGCCCTAGAGCCCCGGGGGCCAATTGGACCTGCTCTTTTAATCCAAGAGACCAAACGCACGTTCATGGCAAGGACTGACAGTGAGTTATTGCTCCAACCGGGGAGAGAGAAATGGAGCTCAAGTGGACTTGCCGAACTCTCTCACCCCCTTTAATCCTTCCCTTCACTTGCTTCCAGCACACCACATTGGCCTGGCTTTCTGCTTACTCCCAGTCTCTTCTGCTGACTCCTCGTCATCTTCTTTATCCACACTCACTCTGTATATGAGCTCGCCCATTGCCATGGCTTGGCCATCACCTGCCTTGCCAATGACCCCACACGTGTGTCTGCAGCCTGCATCTCTCTCCTGCATCCTCATCTGCTTGGTTTCTCCACCTGGATGTCTAACAGGCCTCTCGAACACAATTTGTCCAAAGCTGAGCACCAGCTATTATCCCTCCTTGCAAATCGTCCCACTCCAGCCACCTTCTCATCCATCTCAGCAAACGGCAACTGGTTCTTCTAGGTCTTCCAACATCAAACTTAGAGTCTCCCTGACTCTTTTCTTTCACACGTGGATCTGGAAATCCCTCAGATCCACCTGCAACTTATATCCAGGCTCTGACCCATTCTCTGCCCTGATCCAAACCATCATTTTCTTTCCACCAGGGTGATTTGTGGCCTCCTCTCTTGTCTCCCTGCAGTCTATTCTCAAGGCAGCAGCCAGAGTGAGCCAGACTTAAAACTGAAGTCAGACCGTGAACCCCTAGAGAAAAATCCCATATCCTTGCTCTCATCTGCAAGGTCATTAACTCAATGACCTCTTCTCCAATAACTCTTCCCCTTACTTCTTCTGCTCCAGTCACATGGACATCCTTGCTGTTCTACCTGCATGTCAAACACACTCCTGCCTCAGGGCCTTTGCACTTGCTGTTCCCACTGCCTGAAACTCTCTTCTCCTAAATGACTAGCTTCCTTGATGCCTTTTGATCTTTACTAAAAGCCATCTTTTTGGTGAGTACTTCTCTGCTGACCTGATCTAATATTACTGCATTCCACCTTCCTGCCATCTTTCTTCTCTTTGGCCACACAGCTGTCACTCTCTACCTGTGTCTTACTTGTTTATGTCCTCCTTATAAAACATAAGTTCTTTGAGGGCAGTGACTTTTATATTTGTTTACTTTTGTTCCTCAAGTCCTAAAACAGTGTCTGGTACAACTCAGTAGGTTTAATAAGTGTGTATTCAATAAATGGTCCCTCTCCATCATCAGAACAACCCTGTGAAGCAGGGATGATTTTATGCCCTCTGTATAGACGAGGAAACTGAGGCTGGAAGATCCCAAGATCCCCTGGCAAAAGAAAGGAGAGTTCAAATGTAAATGACCATCTATCTGAGCTCTCATCATAGATTCTTTTCATTGGTGCTTTCTAATACCCCACTGAAAGCTCACTCTTCTCTGCTTCTCAGAGAGCTTGGCAAGGCACCAGTGCAGCTTAATTTAGACTGAGGCCTACCTGACCCCAGTGTGATCTGGGTAATGGTTTACACCTTCCATCCCTCTCCTGAGCCACTTGGCACTTCTCAAAATGCCTAACGTTCACTCTCATGCACATCCAGTTTTCAGCGATCCTGAGTTTAGTGAACTGGTAAGGGCACGGGCGTTAGAATCAGACATCTCTTCTAACCTGACTCCACCTTGTCATATTGGGTGACAGCCACTGATCCCCCCAGTCTCAGTTTCCCCATCTGCAAAATGGGGTTCATATCAGCCCCTCTCTCATGAGGTGTGTGAGAGGATCGGTGAAATAATGCTTATAAGACACTGAGCCCAGTCAGGGAATCCAGTAAGAGAAGGATGTCGGGTCTTCTGCAGCTCTGTTGGAGGCATCCACAAAGCTAAGGAAACAAAGGCCTTTTCAGATCATGGAGTGGAGAAGATGAAACCCCAGAGTAGAGCAGTAAATTGCTTGTGGTCACACTGCACCCGGCAGTCACAGGCCAGGGCCTAGAAACCCTAACCTCCCCGAAGAGTGTCCCACCCTGGGGCCGCTGACTTATGGAAGGTCTTCAGCCCTGAGACTAGAACTGGAAATCAGAGGGCTCTGAGCTTCTGAGATAAGATGTTTTCCAGCAACACCACCAAAGGGAAAAATGCCACAGCCAGGTAAGGGATTGCTGGAATTATAGGCCATGTCGGATTTTGTATCTTCCCAGTTGGAGAAAGTGATCCTGATTGCCACAGAGCTTCCCTGTTCCCTCCTGCCCTGACCAGTTTGAATCCTAGGGCCCCACTCTTAGGGAGTTATTCCCCTGGGGTTCTGGCCACCAGAAATCCATTTGCTAAAAGGCCCTCGTGACAGGCAGAGATGGAGGTCCTCAGATAGTGAGATTTCTGTTGGAGATGCAAGCATTGGGCATGGGGCCTCCAGGCCAGGTACAAGATGTGAGTGTCAGATACCTGGCTGTGACTAACTGCTGCAGCACAAAGGGACAGAGAACCATGCCAGGGGACATCTGAGTGAGCCAGAGGGTGCTGAAGGCCCCAGAAGCAGGGTCCAAGTGGGGGTCTGGAGGAGATACATCTGGAGAGGATGCCAAAAGCGATTTGGGCCCCTGTCATACTTTTTCTCTGGGCCTATCCTAGAAATGACATGGCTTGAAAAACCTGTTTATGTAGAGCAGCGACAATTTTCTGCTGTGAGAAAATGCATAGAATTCCACCTCCCAGGCTGCTTCTCCTCCAGTCCCAAAGGTATCTGTCATCCCTTCTTCTATAACCCTGCAATGGATATTTCCCAATCACGCAAATGCTCTTCTAGGAAGCTCTTCCCTGTGCCTTCTCTCATCCCTCTTGCTGTTGTGGCTCTGTGCCCCTGCCTTCATCTGTTTTCTGCTGCCATATCAGAATAACACAGATTGGGTAATTTACAAAGAAAAGAGGTTTATTCAGCTCAAAGTCCAAGAGCATGGCACCCACATCTGGCGAGGGTCATCTCATGGGGGAAGGTCAGGAGGTGGAAGGGTTAGAGTAAACATGTAAGAGAGAGCTTGTTTTTATAACAAAGCCACTCCCATGGTCACTAACCCATTCCTGATATTCACGCAATAATGGCATTAATAAATTTAATTTATTTATGCAAAAATTAAATAAGTAGACATTTAAAAAATAAAGAACTCAGGCAAATCAGCAAGAAAAAATCAAACAACCACATTAAAAAATGGGCAAAGGACATGAACAGAAACTTTTCAAAAGAAGATAGACTAATGGCCAACAAACACATGAAAAAAATGCTCAACATCTCTAATCATCAGGGAAACGCAAATCAAAACCACAATGAGATATCACTTAATTCCAGTGAGAATGGCTCTTATCAAAAAGTCCCAAAAAATAGATACTGCTGTGGATGCAGAGAGATAGGAACACTCATATACTGCAAACAAGGACAACCTCTATGGAAAGTAATATAGAGATACATAAAGAACTAAAAGTAGAACAACCATTTGATCCAGCAATTCCACTATTGAGTATTTACCCAAAGGAAAAAAAAGGCATTCTATAAAAAAGATATCTGCACTCAAATGTTTTTAGCAGCACAATTCGTAATTGAAAAGATATGGAAATCACCCAAATGCTCATCAATACATGAGTGGATCAGTAAAATGTGGTATATGTATTATACGGAGTACTACTCAGCCATAAACAAAATGGTGAACTAATATCCCTTTATATTAACCTGAATGGAGCTGGAGACCATTCTTCTAAGTGAAGTATCACAAGAATGGAAAAACAAACACCACATGTACTCATCATTACACTGGTACTAATCGATCAACACTTATGTGCACAGTGGAAGTAGCACTCATTGGGGATCCGGCAGGTGGGACGGGGGAGGAGGGGATGGGTACATTCACACCTAGTGGGTGTGGTGCACGCTGGCTGAGGGTTGGCCATGCTTCTGGCTTGGACTTGGGCAGTGCAAAGGCAATTTATGTTACCAAAGTGTTTGTACCCCTGTAATATTCTGAAATAAAAAAATAAACCAAATACATGGCACAGAGTAAGCACTCAATAACTCATGGTTACTTAAGTTTAGGATGGGAGGCTCAGAGGAGGAGTGTGGACTCAAACTGGCACAGCTGCATGGAGGGAGGGTCTGGAGACTGTTTGGATCATTCCTGCAGATCAAACGGATGCAGCAGCTTTGGGGACCGAGGCACATAGTCCTTGGAATGGCAGTCAGAGTCCCACAAATGAAAGGAAGCTCAGGAAAAAATTATTTGTCCTCCCAGACACTGGGGCTAAAAGATCTGCAGACACATTTGGTTTGGGAGATGCTGGATCCAAGTTCCAGAAGACAAACCATGGGCCTTAGTCCATTTTATGTTGCTACAAAGCAATACCTTGAAAGGGGCAGCTTTGCGAAAATAACAGAGAATACCTAATCCCACAGTGTGCTGGTGACAGTTAAAGATCAATCCTATGAGTTCTCCCTAACAGACACCCCGCCGGAGTTCTGTTTTGCACAACTTCTGAAAAGAGCTGAACGGACAGAAAGGAGATGTAAATCTTTCTCTCTAAAATTGTTTTTTGAGAGTCTGCTTTGACAGAGTTCCTGAGCGAACAGCAGGAGAACAAGCTACCGCCTCCACCGTATCTCAAGGGGAGAGTCACATCTCCTGCGATAATCCCGTCTCCAAGGGAAGGCGGGAAACCGACTCTTGGACTTTGACATCCTGCCACTGCTTTTGTCATCAATTGACAGCCATCACTATTTTTTTCTCATCAGTCCCCAAAATCAGCAAGCCACTTGGCGTCGGTGAGGGCACCTCCCTTCTCTTTCCTTAGGATGCCACGCCGACTCCCTGCTCTCTTCTCCCTCTCTCTCTTTCCCTTCTCTCTCTCTCTCTCTCTCTCTCTCTCTCATTCTCTCTCTCTCTCTCC